TGAGAACCCAGGAGTCCTGGCTCCCAGCCCCCCCTGCTCTAACCATCAGCCCCCACTCCCCTCCCAGAGCTGGGGTGAGAACCCAGGAGTCCTGGCTCCCAGCCCCCCCTGCTCTAACCATCAGCCCCCACTCCCCTCCCAGAGCTGGGGTGAGAACCCAGGAGTCCTGGCTCCCAGCCCCCTGCTCTAACCACTAGACCCCGTGATCTCGGGGGGGCCGTCGTGCCAGGCGCTGCTCAGACGCCCGCTCGGTCGGTGGGTCTCACCGTTGCTGTGGAAATACTGCTCCACCGCTCCCACCATCCACTCGGCCTTCTCCCGGCCGTGCGCCCCGCCGAAGCCATGCTCCACCGCGATCTGCACCGGGGAGAGAAGAGACAACGTCACCCCGCGCCCCGGGCCTGCGAACGGGGCGTGGGATCGCTCGGCTCCAGCACGCCGGCCGTTCTAGACGGGACCTTGCTGTGTTTCTGTGGCAGGGCTTGGGGGCGGGGACTATGGGGGGCCTCCCCACCCTCCTGTGTTCCTATAGAGACAGGGAGGGAGAATTCCTATAGGGGACCTCACCTTTGCGGTGTGTTTCTGTAGGGACAGGGGGGGTTCTACAGGGGCCCTTGAGACCTGTTTCTATACAGGACCCTGCCATCTCTCTGTTTCTGGAGGGAATGTCTATAGGGGACCTGCCCCTTTCTCTATTTTTCTATAGAGCCTGGCGGTGTTTCTAGGGTGACCTAGCAATCTCTCTATATTTCTATAGGGTCTGGAGGGCCCCTGCCCTTTCTGCATCTTTCTATAGGGTGCGGGAGGATTTATCGAGGGCCTTGACCCCTTCTATAGGGTCAGCTGAATCTATAGGGAGTTCCTTCCCCTTCTGTGTGTTTCTGGAGGGTATGGGAGGTTTATAGGGGGCCTGCCCCTTTCTGCGTGTTTCTAGGGGGGGGGCAAAAGGGGGACTTGCCCTTTCTGCGTGTTTCTAGTGGGGGGGGGCAAAAGGGGGCTTGCCCTTTCCGTGTGTTTCTATAGGGTCGGGGAGGTGGTCTATAGGGGGCCTGGGCCTTTCTGCGTGTTTCTATAGGGTCGGGGAGGTGGTCTATAGGGGGCCTGTCCCTTTCTGCGTGTTTCTATAGGGTCGGGGAGGTGGTCTATAGGGGGCCTGGCCCTTTCTGCGTGTTTCTATAGGGGGCCTGGTCGCTCCGCTCCCCCTCCCCCCGCTCTCACCTGCAGCGCGGCCCAGTTGCCCAGCACCGCCCGGACCCCCTGGCCGAACAGGCCACGTGTCTCCTCCCTGGGCGCCGCCATGACAGGGCGGGCGGCAGGAACGGAGCGCGGAGAGCATCGATTCCCCCCTCCCCCCGGCCGCCGTCAACAATCGCACGCCGGGCTCGTCGATCGATCGGTGGCTCCGCTCTCGGGCCGCGGGTTCGAGTCCGGCTCTCCCGCCCTGGGGCCGGAGACCGCCCCCGCCCCGCCGGGCTCCTGTCGGGCGCTGCCCTGGGTTGCAAACACTGCAGCGAGGGGCTCAGGCTAGATCATTTCCCAGACCCTTCTGGGGACTCCCCCCCCTTTCCCCGATTCAGTGCCACCCACATTGCAGTCTGGGGGGGTCCGTGCAGCGCCCGGCAGAACGGGGGTCCCTGATCTCGCATGGGGTTTGTAGGTGATACCATGACGCAAATGATAATGGATGATAGACGGTTCTAACTGGAATCATAACAAAACCCGCGTTTTCCTCCCTATGGCTCTCCGGGGTCTGTTCGCTTGGGTCTTGCCCGGGTCGGGATGGCAGGTGGTCTTGGCAGAATTGCTCCCTGGGAAATGGGCACTGGTACAAGGGTGGCTATTCCAGAGAGTTCGCCCTCCATGCTGTTTGACCCCTCTCTGTCCCAGGCTTTGGTGTGCCTGGGTCAATGACACACGTCGCAGATCTGGTTTCTCCTTTGCAGGGCCTGTGAGGCCCCGGATACATGGCTACCATTCCACAAAGGGACGACTCTGGTGGATACGGTGGGATACCAGTGTTGGAAGAATGGGCGATCTCCACCCACTTTCTATCGCTCCACTGGGTTGAGTCCTACTCTGGGGATGGGGGGAAAGCAAGACACAGTTGGGATGGATCTCACCTAGGCAGGGATGCAATGGGAGGGAGGCAGGGGACACCCCCATACACATGCCTGGAAATTTGTCCTAGATACCCTTCCTATTTGGCCCAATTACAGGGGGTGGCCAGACCAAATTTGAGTGGCGCTGCGACCCCATGTATCTGCTTTAACACCCCCCCCCACACACACACACCTTTGCAGTCCTTCCAGTGGGCACCAGCAACCCCTGGGGCAAACCAGAGCCAGGGGGCACCAGAAGGGTCTGAACTGTCAGTGCTTCCTGGGTCAGCAGAGATGCAGGGGAGGAGGAGGGGGTCTGGAGCTCCCAGACCTGTCTGGCCTGTGGTGGGGTGGTGATCGCCTGTCTGGGGGAGAACTTGGAGCTGGGTGTGGGGGCAGCAGGGTGGAGGGGGAGTGTGTGGGGCTGGAGGCAGGGAGAGAAATTTGGGCCTCTGGTACATCATTTGCTGGGGCTCTGCCCTGTCATTTCATCCCAGTTAAGACATTTTGGGGCAGACCCTGAGTCCAGGACCCCAGTACGATTGTCCCCCCGCCCCCCATCAGCCTGGCCTCTCTCCTTAGGACAAGTCTGGTAGCACCCCTCCACCTGGCTGAGTTGGACCCTAAAGCCCAGCCTGGACTCAGTGTGGCGGACTGGAAGAGCCCGTCTTTCATCAGGGAAGCGGAGTGGGAACTTTGTGACACATGCTGGAACTTGGAACCGAAGAGATCCAAGCTGGACTAGTGGGGCTACAGCCTCTGTCTGATGCTTGTGAGCACACGGGGAGAAAACACGTAGACAGCTCTTGCGAAAAGCATAGGGACCCTGTAAAGGCCGGGGCATAGCACATCCCGGGACGCCCTTGAAGTTGGCCCCCGAGGTGGAGAATGGAGACAACTCGGGAGATGTGGGCCCGATGTACATAACTGGTGGAAAGACTGGCCTGGAAGTGTCGTTATCAAGGATTCCCTGCCAAACTGGGAGGGCGTCTCTAGTGGGGTCCTGCAGGGGTCAGTCCTGGGCCTGGCGCTGTTCAACACTGTCACGAATGACTTGGAGAATGGAGTGGAGAGTGGTCTTGTTAGACATGCAGGTGACACCAGGCTGGGGTAGGTTGCCAGCACTCTGGAGGACAGGATTTGAATTCAAAGCAACCTCGCCAATTTGGAGAATCAGTCTGAGCTCCGCAAGAAGAGAGTCGATGAAGAGAAGTGCAAAGAACTTCACTTAGGATGGAAAACTCACACGCACGAGTACAAAATGCGGAGTACCTGGCTAGGTTAGAAACTGGGCATGTTTAGTCTGGAGAGCAGACTGGAGGGGTGTGGGAGACCTGATAACAGGGTTTAAACCTGCAAAGGGCTGTTTTGGAGAGGCCATGTCTGCTGACGTCAGAAGTAAGGGGCTTCATCTGGAGAAAGGGAGATTGGGGCTAGAGATCAAGAAAAACTTTCTAACTTCAGGAACGAGGAACGTGATCATTCCCCTTTATTCGACATTGGTGAGGCCTCATCTGGAATACTGTGTCCAGTTTTGGGCCCCACACTACAAGAAGGATGTGGAAAAATTGGAAAGAGTCCAGCGTAGGGCAACAAAAATAATTAGGGGTCTGGAGCACATGACTTATGAGGAGAGGCTGATGGAACTGGGATTGTTTAGTCTCCAGAAGAGAAGAATGAGGGGGGATTTGATAGCAGACTTCAACTACCTGAAGGGGGGTTCCAAAGAGGATGGAGCTCGGCTGTTCTCAGTGGTGGCAGATGACAGAACAAGGAGCAATGGTCTCAAGTTGCATGGGGGAGGTCCAGGTTGGATATTGGAAAAACTAATTTCACTAGGAGGGTGGTGA